TTTAACACATATTTAAACAATCCCCGGCCTTCCCTATATTACTGTCATTCTCAATTTTTGGCTTTACTCCTGAAATCATAGCTGGTCTGCTCAGAAATGCTCTGTGTATTTTGGCTAAGGTTTTTGTGTATTAGCAAGTGTGTAATCGTTCTATTTTTTGCGCTCACAGCAGGCATGCTGAATGAGATCTGTTGCTTGTCCCGAGAGGCACAACCAGTGGCCTTTGTTCTACAAGGCAGCTGAGCATGCTCACTTGGTTTTTCCCACAGAACTGGGCCGCTTCGGCACTCATAACATTCACACCGGCTCCCTCCCCTCGTGTGCAGAACGTCAGAAGCATGTAGCCCAGTCACTTCCTCCTGTCAGCCCAACCTATTATTGTTCAGGACATCCTGTGAACACCTCCATATCTAGCATCACTTCCTACCTCTTAGATGGTTTAACAACATGTCTAAAGGCCATGAATGGGATGTGACAGTGCCATCTTAGCGTAAGTGACCCCACCTCAGTTTCATTGTGCAGGCCTTTCCACACGCCTCTCCCAGCAGTCTAGCATTGTCATATCGGAGATGTAATCATCCTGGGAGGATGCGACCTCCTCCCCTACTAGTACTCCTTACTGTAATAGCTGAAACATAAACCAGATTCATTAACCGAAACATGTAGGCAAGCTTTGAGATGAATTTGTGGAAGGAAGTCCAGGCAGACAAGGAGAAGAGAAAGATCCAAAAGGGAGAGACAAGCAGCCTTGCCAAATGTCCCGAAGCAGGAAAGGAGAGAAGATGACCAAGTTTGATAGTGTTGAAGAAGAAAGTGGATGATTAGCTCGAGGGATGGAGCACATAAATGCTGCATCTTCTGGAAGATATTTCCTTTCCAAAAATGTTATCCTTAAAGCTTGTATGAAGACATCTACCTCTTTGAAAAAATCTTATCAAGCTAATTGATAACATCCCTTTGATATCTGACATTCAAACATTGGTTGTTGCAGATCTACAAAGATAAGATAAAGAACATTTACAGTGAGATCCAACTCTGAGACTATACTGAAAACCGTTTTTTCTTTTACAATTAAACCTGGAAATTAAATGCAACTAAAGTAGTGTAAAATAATACATCTGTACAAATTCCCTCTTATTACATGCCACACACAAAATAAATATATACTTTGACATAAAATATGGGAATGAGTTGAAATAATTATATAGTTTTGCTTGTACATGAAATAATCTTAAAGATTTTGCCAAAAAAAGAAAAGAAAAAAAAGGTCAATTACGTTGTACAAAAGAATATACTGAAATCAGGTTATTTTTCACTAATTGACTTTGCGACGCTTCTTTGCCTCCACGTCGTGCATTTAAAATCCTTTAAGGCACGGCTAGCCGTTGATTATCCATGGTCATTTACCAAGTTATAGACAAGTTAAAACTAGTATTGCTCTTTGCAGCACAAGCCCTGGCTCCATTTAACAGATTTCACCATGTTTGCATACATTATGCAGATTTTCTCCATCAGAACAGAAACTACTCAATAAGTCTGCAGATCCAAACTAGGCCTGTTCGTCGCCTTAACCAATACTGACAGAAATGGATTTCAGATGGTTCAAGTCTTGGTTTGATTTGATTGCTGTTTCAAAATGGGCGAATCTGTTTCTAATATGTTGGTATTTCTCAACTGTATACAACTGAGGGCCCTCCAGCAGTAGGTGTCTGTCTCATTTGTGTATTTTCCTTTGCAGAAGACAGCTTGAGTCTCAATGGTGTTGCTCATGTGCATTACCCCATGGTGCTTTGTTTCAGCTTTCTGGACCCAAACTCAGACTCAGTAACTATACAAATGCCATATTGCAATCACAACATGCACACTACTTCATTTCAGCATTTCTCTCACTCTCTCACTCTCTCACTCACTCGCTCACTCTCACACACACACACACACACACACACACACAC